TCACCTCCTGTCTCACTCACAAACTCCCTCAGATTATAAGCATTGCTATCTTCTCTCCAAAATCCCTTAGATTATAAGCATTGCTATCTTCTCTGCAAACTCCCTTAGATCATAAGCATTGCTCCCTTCTCTCCAAACTCCCCTAGATCATAAGCATTGCTCCCTTCTCTCCAAACTCCCTTAAATCATAAGCATTGCTCCCTTCTCTCCAAACTCCCTTAGATCATAAGCATTGCTCTCTTCTCTCTCTCGTAATATGATATACAAGTAACCACACAGGTATAGATTTCAACTCGCTCCTGAAACCAGCACACTGCACGTTACATAAATGCTGCAAACCCTTTGCTTAAGAATCCAGTGCGATATGAGAAGCTAATGTATACAACTATTGACTTCTTTCTAAATCCCTCCGTAATTACTCCTTGACCTGTATAACAAAGGTGGAAATTTGTCGTTATACTTCAGTTTACAAAGTTCTCATCTCTGACTCTTCTGTTTCAAAAACAATTCACATGTAGAACAAAAGAAGGTTGCTGGTAATTTCAAGTGAAGCCCTGCTGGCAGCGCTATTAACACAGCTGCTGACAAAACCATCATACAATGAGTAATTTTCATTAGATTTGTGTGGTATTTCAAGGTGTTGATTAGACTGTAGCCTGGACATTGATACTCTTCATTGTAATACAATAAGATTAGCCAGTGGGCTAATTAGATAAAGGGTTGGGAGTCCAGTTCAGACATCAATTTAATTTGAAATGTTCAGTCAAATCAACCAACCATAAGATATAGTAATTGACTTCATGACATCACGATGTACATGAAATACTGTTAGTGACTGCAGTTTTATATCAGTTCCAATCTAACAGCCAGCCATAACAAACTCTAAATCTCACAAAAGACAAGAGCTGATGAGCTTGGCTTCGTGTTGCGACTTGTCTATTGGATCCTAAACGGTCCATGCCCTTATGGCAAGATGATGTGTTTTACTGTAATGTGTTACAGACTTCAGGACCTCTTAAATTCTGAACATAATAATTAGCCGAGAATGGCAGTGTGTTGGGTGATGAGCCAGTAAACCAAACCCTTGTCCCTCCCCTTCTTTAACAAGTGTGGACAACATCCGTCTTCGTACAGCCTCGCATCTCAATGTCTAACCCAAGTACAACCAATATCATTCTTTACCGGCACTATAACTCACTCAACCCATTAAAAGCAGGGTTTAGTCTCTCATCCCCTATATCTAACTAGGAGCACGAAAAGTACAGGTTCAGTGAAGTCTAATCTGCGGGAAAGTGATCAGAATATGTATCTACTTGTCTGCAAAAATGGTTTATTAAGGATTACTGAAATATGACATGCTGCTTTATTACACATCTGACAGGAAAAGTGTTTCTTTTTCAATAAATTTGGCTTCTATTATAAATTAGAACAGGATATTTTTGGAATCATGTACTTTCACTTTAGGAAAGTACAAAAGCACTTGCAAGATGGACCAATATTATTATTGTTATTATAATTTGGTTATTGCCCTGCCCATCAGCCCCCTTGCTCCAGCTGCTGGAGATCTGATTAAGCCATTAACCATTAACGGAGGCCCCCGGGACATACGCCCTACAAATGTGGACGATAGTGCGGGACATACGCCCTACAGACGTGGACGATAGTGCGGGACATTCGCCCCACAAACATTGATGACGATGCATATCTATAAATAGCCTTCCAAATATTCGTTACAATAGGCCCATTATTTATTTATACCAAATCAGGATAAATGTCTCTCCCCTCCTGTAATAATCCAATTACCATATGCAAGGATGCAGTTACTGAAAGTGCACAGAGATAAATGATTAACTTGAAACCGGATTTCTGACTTAAAACACAATTTAAAACAAACTAATAATTTTGCATAACAACATTTTGACTAATTACAGTTTTCTTAAATAAGGCTTCTTATCGCGCGCGATATCCCTTTCACCACTGTAGACCATAATGGACTCATCCAGATCAATGCATGGTAGAGTCTACTAAAGTTACATAGGGGTGAAAGGTGCAGTGTGATCAGAAGGTACTAAAGCCTTATCTAATGGGATCATCTACATATGTTTCCGATGTTAAAAGTCCTAGTTACGACCATGTTTGTACTGGATTACACCGATGTAAAAATCATACTTATGACAATGTTTGTACTGGATTAAACCGATGTTAAAGTCCTAGTTACAACCATGTTTGTACTGGATTACACTGATGTAAGAGTCCTAGTTACGACCATGTTTGTACTGGTTTACACCGATGTAAGAGTCCTAGTTATGACCATGTTTGTACTGGATTACACCGATGTTAAAGTCCTAGTAACGACCATGTTTGTACTGGATTACACCGATGTAAGAGTCCTAGTTATGACCATGTTTGTACTGGATTACACCGATGTAAAAGTCCTAGTAACGAACATGTTTGTACTGGATTACACCGATGTTAAAATTCCTAGTAAGGACCATGTTTGTACTGGATTACATCGATGTTAAAAGTCCTAGTTACGGCCATGTTTGTACTGGATTACACCGATGTTAAAGTCCTAGTAACGACCATGTTTGTACTGGATTACACCGATGTAAGAGCCCTAGTTACGACCATGTTTGTACTGGTTTACACCGATGTAAGAGTCCTAGATACGACCATGTTTGTACTGGATTACACCGATTTTAAAAGTCCTAGTACCGACCATGTTTGTACTGGATTACATCGATGTTAAAAGTCCTAGTTACGGCCATGTTTGTACTGGATTACACCGATGTAAAAGTCCTAGTAACGAACATGTTTGTACTGGATTACACCGATGTTAAAAGTCCTAGTAACGACCATGTTTGTACTTGATTACATCGATGTTAAAAGTCCTAGTTACGGCCATGTTTGTACTGGATTACACCGATGTAAAAGTCCTAGTAACGAACATGTTTGTACTGGATTACACCGATGTTAAAAGTCCTAGTTACGACCATGTTTGTTCTATAGAACTGTATTACTGGATTACACCCCCCTCTTGATGGATATCACAGTTTCTTTACTGACAACATTACTTCAATAGTTCAATCTAACTCTAAAATTGATCAATATTTATCAGTGTAATTCATGCCAAATACAAAAAGTTAAAGCATGGTGTTCTTTTGTTAGCAACAGTTCAGCTAGCTATACTAGAGATCATGAAATTTTGTCATGTTTACATCATATTCCAAAAATATTTTTATAATATTCATTTTTCATTCCATAATTACATTTCTTAATCCTTAATAGAGAGAGAGAGAGAGAGAGAGAGAGAGAGAGGGGGGTTTAACTGCAGGCATCCACCCTTTTCCTAAGACATTTGCCAAAGTGGGGTCTTATTCAATTTGCAATCAAATATGGTGCAAAACGTCCAAGCTACAGTCTCAAACTTAACCTACTTTTTACTGTTTTTGTGACCTACATTACATTTGTCACTCATGTACACATTACCTTTGCCACACCTGTACACATTACCTTTGCCACACCTGTACACATTACCTTTGTCACACATGTACACATTACCTTTGTTACACCTGTACACATTACCTTTGTCACACATGTACATTACAAACAGGTAGAGAACATAAACACTTCATCATAATTCAGGTATATCAAGTGTACATTAAGTTAATCTGACATTCAAGTAAAATTTCCATTTCTGACATTTCAAAGTTATTCAAATTGAAATAAAAAAAAAACATGAAATGATCTCCAACAGATGATGTAAATGAAAAAAAAAAAAATGCGAAATAATTTCTACAGATAATGCAAATGCAAGTGCAAAAAAAATAAAACAAATTGAAAAGATTTTTTTATAAATGTGTCAACAAGCTAAAACAACCAGATTCAGGTCATGACTGATATAGGGTCATTATATAATTACATAAAGAAAATACATAATTATTATCATGTCAATTTAGCTTCCACATCTCTACAAAGGATGAGGATAGCACCCAATTCTATTGAGGTAAAAATAATTCAGAACATTTAACTATTTTCATATTCAACATTAAGGCCAAAACAATGTGAGTATGTTTTTTCACCACAAAGGCTTTGGTCGCCGGGCTCGTGGCCGAAGGGTTTGAGAGTTCGAGTCACAGCACTGTACTGTGTTATTTCTTTGAGCAAGATATTTTACTCTGCTTTTTCCAGTCTACTCAGCTGTAAATGAGTATGTGGTTGGGCAGTGCTAGAGTTGTTGAATGCTAGCTATGAGCGCCGAAATGGCAGCACCGACTGTATACTCCCCAGTGAGTTGAGCAAGATATTGGCTGGTTGTAAAGGCCCTATAACCATGGATAATAATTTGTGAACCGCTTTGAGACGACCTACGAACTAGGCTATGGTAATGCAGTATATAAGAACCTCAAACTATTATTACTACATGTATTATTATTCACAATTGGTTTTACATTTTAAAAATGTATAAATATGGAAACTGTAACATTTTCTGTGTTTTTTAGAATGTCATTTGAAAACTTTTAAGTTGGCGAATAGCAAAAAAAAGGGAGAAAATTGGTAGAAAAAGCTGGAAGGCACTAATTCAGAAATAAACAAGGTGTGGTAAAATGATACACTTTTACAAAACCATGAAGTATCTATATAAAGTAATGTCATTTTCTCAAGGAAACACGATTTTACATCTCTTTTATTGAGGATTCGTTTTCCTGCCGATGACATCAGCAACGAAACAACAGGAACTGCTCATTCTGCTGTCAGGTTCAACTTTGTGTGATCTTTATCAGTTTATGTACAGGAAGCCAATGGAAACACTGAGACATAAACTTTCTGTGATACACTGAGACATAAACCATGATTTTCTTCCTAGCCGAAGTACATTACATATCGAGATTTTATATAACTAGTAAAATAATATTTACGTGGCCAATAGTGATACATTTTTTGTAACTAGCAAAATAGTTTTTATAAGGCCAATTTTATACATTTTTTTTAAACTAATAAAATAAATTTTACGTGGCCAATAGTGATACATTTTTTATAACTAGTAAAATAAATGTTGCGTGGCCAATAGTGATACATTTTTCATAACTAGTAAAATAAATGTTACGTGGCCAATAGTGATACATTTTTTATAACTAGTAAAATTATTTTTAAGTTACAAAGCTAACAGTTAATTTCCAAATATATACCTATGGAAACTGATTTTACCTATTACATAGGAAGATTATAGATATGAAACATGATTTTTACGTAGCAAATAGTTAATTTCCAGATATATACCTTTAGAAAATAATGACCTAACCAGTAGTTTATTACATATGAAGATTGGGCCTATGAAACATGAGTTTTACGTAGCCAATATTTAATTATGTATCCAGATATTTATAAATATACATATGAAACACGGTTTTATAGGCGGTGGAGCATCATTTGATACTTTTAAACTGAAATAGATCTATCTAATATGACCACTTACATCACTTTCACAACTGGATCAGAAGTTTGCTTTCCTTCAAACATTGATAATTCTAACAGAAGGTTCAATTTAACAGCTTAACATTTAAACAACGCTCATGTTCTCTCGATTGCAGTGATCATTGTCTTGGCAGATTATAGATTCACACCATCATCAAGTTACCGTAAAATCTGGGGAAACTTTTGCACTGCCAAAAGTGCAACCCACAGCTAGTTGTTTACTAACAGACGCACTACACCGACTGTGTTATGATTCTGTCACCTGTATGAAGGGCTCGGTCAACATTAGCCAGCGTGTTGTTGGGGTATCCACCATGACATCATGCTGGGCTGTCTGTACAAGTCTAAACAAGCAAACACCACCAACACCTGGACAGTGATGCCAAGGGAAAGGGCACGTTTAACTCAGCACAAACTTCCTATCGACAAGTCCACGTGATCTGCTGACAAAGTTAACGCCTCTCTGAGACAGGACCACGCTTTGTGATGACACATGTCACTACACACTTTCTTGTGAGAGGACATCACTATATATTACACACCTCTCTTTGAGAGGACTACACTTTGTGATGACATAGTACCCACTTTCCTGTGTGAGGATATCACTTTATGATTATATAGTACCTGCCTCCCTTTGAGAGGACTACACTATTTGATGACACAGTACACACTTTCCTGTGTGAGGGGATATCACTTTATGATTATATAGGACCTGCCTTCCTTTGAGAGGACCACGCTATGTGATGACATAGTACACATGTCCCTACAAGAGGACATCACTATATGATGACACAGTACAGTTTCCTTTCAGAGGACAACGTTATGTGATGACATAGTACACATGTCCCTGCAAGAGGACTACACTATATGACACAGTACACGATCTCCTTTGACAGGACCACGCGATATGATGACACACTACATGATTTCCATTTAGAGGACAATGCTATGATGACGGAGAACATGGGCTTGTGACGGACCAGACACATTAATTTGGAAAGCGATGTCATCTATTTATATCTATTTCAAGAGAGATTCCGAAGCCATCTGCAGCATCTTGAGTGAGCGTGTGGTTTTGGCGTTAGGGTGACTGGCAATGTAGGTCTTGAGTTTTTGTATGAGTCCGTATAGCACGCCTTTCAGGTGTTCTCTGGTGACACTGTTCGACATGTCCATGTTCATCACCGCTTCCTCTAGGTACCTGAAACAAAACAAAGGCAGGTCCATTAACTACAAGGCAACCCTTCTCCCTGACTAGAGCCTGATTTCCTAATGAAACCAAAACACCACCTGGGCCAATATGTTAAAGGCTGGCTTATATTATATTACATCAGCATTGCTAACATGATCAGTTTTACACTGTAAAAAGATCAAAAAGTTTATTTCCACAAATTTCCGCACGATAAAATGAGAGAGATTTTTGTTTCCCATAAGTGCAAATTTCCACTGTTACATAATTCTATTACTTATTAACAGGTTGAGATGGCGACAATTTGTTTTAGCATTCGGCGCAAACAAATGCATTTCTTTTTAAATCAAAATGTACATTTCACAAAATACCACTTTTACTTTGACTTCTATGAAAATGAACTGATATACAGTTTCTGAAAAGATTTTTTCTTACTGCAATTGCAGAAAATCAAATGTTTGCCCATGGTATCTTCTCCAATTAATTGTAGCACCTGCTGTAGGTTCACTTGATCCAGTGTACTCCAACATGTGATATGACTATTTATACATGTCTATCTATCAGGTTCACTTGATTCAGTGTACTCCAACATGTGATATGACTATTTATACATGTCTATTTATCAGGTTCACTTGATTCAGTGTACTACAACATGTGATTGGGCTATTTATACATGTCTATTTATCAGGTTCACTTGATTCAGTGCACTACAACATGTGATAGGGCTATTTATACATGTCTATCTATCAGGTTCACTTGATTCAGTGTACTACAACATGTGATAGGGCTATTTATACATGTCTATCTATCAGGTTCACTTGATTCAGTGTACTACAACATGTGATAGGGCTATTTATACATGTCTATCTATCAGGTTCACTTGATTCAGTGTACTCCAACATGTGATAGGGCTATTTATACATGTCTATCTATCAGGTTCACTTGATTCAGTGTACTCCAACATGTGATAGGGCTATTTATACATGTCTATCTATCAGGTTCACTTGATTCAGTGTACTCCAACATGTGATAGGGCTATTTATACATGTCTATTTATCAGGTTCACTTGATTCAGTGTACTCCAACATGTGATAGGGCTATTTATACATGTCTATCTATCAGGTTCACTTGATTCAGTGTACTCCAACATGTGATAGGGCTATTTATACATGTCTATCTATCAGGTTCACTTGATTCAGTGTACTCCAACATGTGATAGGGCTATTTATACATGTCTATCTATCAGGTTCACTTGATTCAGTTTACTCCAACATGTGATAGGACTATTTATACATGTCTATTTATCAGGTTCACTTGATTCAGTGTACTCCAACATGTGATAGGGCTATTTATACATGTCTATTTATCAAAAGGAGGTGGTTGACCATTTGCACGAATAGTCTGCGTCTTTTGAAGCTGTTAAGGTAAATACATATAATGTATTAGGAAACAGTAATGAAAGTCCAACAACGAGTTTTGTGGGGATATGAGGAGATTGACTTGAACAGAAAGATCATTAATCAGAGTCGTTCAACTGTGATATATGAACTGACCAGGAATAATCTGACGATAAATGTCAAAACGTCATGTTATTGACAAACCAAAGGATCACACAATACAAAACAGACTAATTAGGACGACAGCTTGGAAGCCAGACTGGGGTCAGTGACAGCCACTGAAGTCCTGACACCATCAGTACAACCCTGTCATCCTATTGTCAGCAAAAAAAATCATTCATCATGGGAAATAAGATTTTTTCCATTTCACAAGCTTGAAAATATTAATCCACAATACACGTTATGTTAATGTAAACAATGATTAGTCTGTCAAAGACTGACCAAACTGGATACCGGGAAATATCCGTTGCAATTATAATTTTCACTCTTTTTTTTGCGCTAGGAGGGAAAAAAATTCATGACAGCATTTTAGTTCACAACATGAAATATATAATGATTACATATAAAAGGCGAATTCAAAATATACACAGGGTGAGCGTTGATTTTATCGGAAAATGAAGAAAAATCGGAGGCACAGTAGTCTAGTGGTAGCATGCCGGGCTCATGACTGAAGGGTTGCAGGTTCAGGTCACGTTACAGCACTGTGTTGTATCTCTGAGAAAGATACTTTACTGCGCTTGTTCCAGTCTACTCAGCTGTAAATGAGTATTTGGTTGGGCAGTGCTAGAATGGTTGAATACTAGCTATGAGAGCCGAAATGGCAGCACTGGCTGTATGCTCCCCAAGGAGTTGAGAAAGATACTGGCTGGTTGCAATGGCCCTATAACCACAGATAATAATATGTTAACTGCTTTGAGACGACCTACAAACTAGGTTGTGATAAAGCGGTATATAAGAACCTCGAATAATAATAATTATTATAATATTAGACTAGGTGAAAGTGTCCTGGTATGCAGTATATACTTTGTATCTTGTCAAATGTTTCCACTTATGTAGGAGGGACACTATAGCATCTTCGTTATCTAATAATATTTTTTTATCATATACTAAAATAAACACTATAATTTTATTTGTAACAAAAATGTTCAATGAATAATAAATGGTGACATTATGAAACAACATTAGTGACAAATTTCCAGTATTTGACATTTTTCATTGCATCTTATGGACATATCCTGTGACGGTGAAAAGTGTTGGGATTTACAACGTAAAACCAAGGGCTGACTAAGTAGGTCCACCTGATGTTTTAAACTGTTTTTGATACATGTTTTTTTAAATTTCAATTCTATAAGAGGATTTCTGCCTAAACCATTGCCGAAAGAGCATTTTATACTAGATGATCACCAGATATTAATAGAAAACAACATACGAAAATTTCAACTGACAAATCAACTAAAGATTTTCACAAAGGATTAATAGAGCCAGTTATGCAATCATTGAATTTTCTATCATAATTCATCGGAATAACAGTAATGGTATACATGGTACCATCAGAGCAAAATGCGGGCAGAAATCAGGCAGAAATCAGGCAAAAATCAGGCAGAAATCAAATAATGAAAATCTATAAAAGTTAATCTTATTTATACATTGATTTAGATCTGATATCCTATATTATACCCTATTCTACTTTGACTGTTATGCCTTACCAAATCTGTGCCCTGTAAAGACAGCTAGTTTAAGATTACAAGAGGCCCATGGGCCTTAACGGTCACCTGATATATTTATACAGAGAGTTGATTTTGTTTTTAACATGAACAGAAATATTATTCAAAGTGACAAAAAACAATAAAACCACCTTACTCAATATCTAGCATACAGATTTCAGACTAAAAAGGATTTGAAACTAGCACCTCTGATTCTTAACAAGGAAAATGAAGAAATTTTAGCACACTGACTCCTTTGAGCCCCACCCTACAGCCCTTGGGGGTAGGGCTGGCTCAAAATTTTCAAAGTATCAAACTGTCAATTCAAGGTTATAATTCCAATCAAGTTATTAACATGTAATATT